CTTGAAAGCCATTCTGTATTTCCTTGTCACACGATCTCGTTTATTTTATCTATATTATTCTGAATTGCTTTTATGCTAGTGTGTGAATGCGAATAATTTGCTTCATAAAACTTGAGGTTTCTAGTGAAAAACTTCGGAGCTTCGGGATAGTTGTTCACCAATGTGTTCTAAAGTCCATCCTATATCAGGATCATTTTTGGAAGCTATTTGCTCTTGAATAGAAAGTATTTTCATTAAATCATTTAATACTTTATGGATAATTTCTGCTCTAAACGTCTGGCAGCAATCATCTTGAGGGTGTGAGTGTGTGGGGCGTGGGTGGAGGTGTGAATGTCGAGAAAGAATATACCCAAACCTACACCTACACTACACATTGAATATGTACGTGTGTAGTGGGTGTGAGCACGACTGTTGGCGTGAATATGAGTGAATTCTTTGAATCAAGCAATATCGAAACTAACACTCACGCCTACCCACACCCATCCTTGGAATGAATGAACTAACCTAAATTCCCAGTGTCAAACAGAGTCATATCCACGGACATTGATACACACAATCACATCAATAGTCAGACCGACATCCGACAGTTAAGTCGACTATTCATCGATATTGTGTCTAATGTAGTTTATTTTATGAGGCATTTTGTAATCATAAAAGTGAACAGAATCTTTTTTTCTAATAAGCACTCTAAATAAACTTATACAATAATGTGCAAAGGAATAAGGGAATTGGTGTATAAGCAAATGATAATGACTGGTTGACTATGGATGAGAAAACGAATCTTGATCAGAGCAACACATTAGTCATCATACTCTCAAAAACTTAAATAATTTTGATTTAATAAAAAAAGAGTTTAGAGTGAAGTTATCTTTTGTCTACAATAGTATAATATTATATGAAACATGTTAATCCGTTCTTTTTCTGGCATTCAATTCAATTTTGATATAAATTAAGAAAAACAGGGCAACAGGTGGTTCCCACATTTAGAGCACATTAAGAGTTTTCCAGTTATTTCTGTGTCGTTTTCGCCGCATTCAGAACATTTCTTTGGCCAATTTCTTTCTGGTCCTTCCATTTTACTGTTTTTTTCTATTGCATTCATTACATTTCAAATCTACCATAAATTTTCCTATATTTTCGGAAGACTCGTCTCATTCAATTTTACATTTAGGACAATGTTTTGTTTGCTGACCACTCATCTTTGAAAGATGGATCCTGGAATAAAATACGAACAATATTGCTTAGATTAACAATAAATGAAAGGAAGAATATTTCAACATTAATGTTATTTAAGAACATGCTTCATAGGCAAAATAAAATTGCTCAATCTTATGGAAGTCATTCTATAGATAGTAAACATATATTTCAATTGAAAAACATTTAGTGTTTATCAGAGAATAACAAAAACAAAAATCCTATGAAGTAGTATTGTTCTCTTGTTAAGGTCTCCATAAAGCAAGTGATCAGAGTTGTATGTCAGAAAAAAAATAAAAATAATCGATCAAGAAAGATGAAACATTTAATTTGAAATTTTCTGTATCATCCAAACGGAAGAAATATAAAAAAACGTACGAAAAAATCGCTTCTGAAGCATTAGAAACTCCGATCATAAGCAACATTCGAGCATGCTTCAGACGATGAGATAGAAAATGCAACAAATACATCTCATTAAAAAATAATCGAGAGCCGACTTTGAATCATCGTTTCAAGTAAGAAAAAAACTTCGAATGTATGATAACTTCTATGGATACATCAAATTCAAAAATTAACAATTCTTATTGTTTGAATAACAACTTAGATGATAATGTTTTTCATACCTACTTAAATTTGTCTATTCGAAAAATATTTGAAAATTAAAATAGATATGAAAATGATTCATGATATCTAACTATATGTAATTGCTTCTTGCTCATTTCTTTTGACATGAGATGAAAAATAAAAAAAGCAACAGGTCGTCTTAACTATAAAAAATAAACAGAAAGACAAAAGACTCGCATTATGGATAACAGTTGATCTCTTCAAACGTGATTGTAGTTTCGATAAAATCTATCAAAAATTCAAGCATTCATCTGCATTCACCCGGTAAAAGAAACTATCGAATCATTAAAATGATGTTTTTTACAAACTTAAAATACGTTCTGAGAATAACAATTTCAGAACACTAGAGTACTTGAGCTACTCAGTAGTTGTATAAGACTGAAAAACATGATTCCTGCAAATACAGTATCAACTTACCGACGGGTAAATAAAATCTAAATGCACATGGTTTTTTTCTGATAGAGAAATGCTATATTTAATAGCTTTCAGAATTATCGTAGCGATTTCTCATAGGAGCACTATTAATTTGAATGGAACTATACTTTATTCACCTTCTTCATAATACGAAGAAGATAAAGGTCACAGGAAGGTAAATCATGAAGAATGATGCAAAATTTAGTGCACAATTCAAAGTAAGCAAAAAAAAATCATCAGATTTTCTCCACATCTATTTATTTTGTTTGTTTAGTCACAGCATGATTGACAGATACCGAGAGAAATGCAAAGATTTCTTCATCATGATGATAAACACAAAAAAAGTTCCTTATACTTCAATCGATTCTATCTCGTCAATACGTTAATTAACTATAGATTTAGTAATATATCTGTCGGTACTCTTATAGAAGTTAACACACATGTCTGATAAAAAATATTAGAAAACGGAGAGAGAGATAAATGAAATAAAACAGTAACTCATGTATTCGAAAAAATGAAACGAAAAGTTTATGGTTAACATATGGGAGTTAAAAACGATTTATTTCAATCATATAAGAAGAAAAGAAAAATCTGCATCAAATTTCATGTTTGCTGTTGCTTTTATATTCTTCTCGAAAAAGAGTCAAATCTGATCGTATGAGAATGAAATAGAGATACATTAGAAAGAAAGATAAATAGATCTATTTTTTAGACATGAAAATATTGTTTTTGTAACCGGTTATTTTTCATCACTCTTTGGTAACGGATTATCATCATCATGAGTATACACTTGAGTAAAGCACACAGATTATGTTACAGCAATGGCAAATATCCATTAAAAAAAATAATAATCTGAAGAACGATTTGA